TGTAGATGTACACAAAAGAGAACGAATTGAATGAAGAGCTATCTCAACTACTTCTTCCCACTGTTCAGTTTTTAAATGTTTAGATTTTAATGCAAGAGAAATAGTTTTCCATATAATTCCATTATATCTTTCTGTCTGGCCATTTCCTTCAGGATTGTAAGATGTTGTTCGGCTTGTTGGTATTCCTTGTGAATGGAGAAATGTTTTGACTTCTTGAGACATAAATGCCCCCCCTTGGTCTGAATGGATATAACTAGGCATTCCAAATAAAGAGAATAAGTTTGTAAGACACTTCACAACAGTTTTCGCTGAAACATCTTGACATGGATATACAAAGGGGAATCGAGAATATTCATCAACAATTGTTAGGATATATTTGTTATGAGATCTAGATGGAAGCGGTCCTTTAAAATCCAGAGACAATCTTTCAAAAGGCGAAGTAGCTTTAATTAATCTCCCTTGAGTTTTCAAAAACTTTGGTTTTATTTCTGCACAGATAGGACAGCGATTGGTCATTTCACGGACTTCATCAATAGTATATGGTAAGTTGCGTGTCTTTATCCAATGGACCATTCTGGTGATTCCTGGATGACACAAGGATTGATGTAGTTCAAATAGACTTGGTCGAGGATTTATTGAACAGCTCACTCGTGAGAAAGTATCTGGCACTACATTCTCAACTCCTGGTCGGTACTGAATATCGAAACTGTAGCATGATAATTCAAGGCGCCATCTGATAATCTTCTCATTTTTTATCTTACTAGTGTGGCGCATATTGAACATAAAAGAGACAGACTTTTGATCAGTTATAAGTCGAAAATGTTTACCTATCAAGAAATGTCTCCATTTTCTAAGAGCTTCCACTATTGCATAAGCCTCTTTTTCCACTGATGAATGATTTCTTTCACTTTTTGATAAGGTTCTTGAAAAGAAAGCAACAGGTCTTCCTCCTTGGCTAAGAGAAGCAGCAATACAAAAATCTGAAGCATCAGATTCAACGATAAAAGGAATCTTGTCATCAATTGTAGTAACAGCTGAAGAAATAATTTCAGATTTAAGAATTTGGAAAGCTTCAGCTGCTTGTTCTGTTAAAGGAAAAGTATTGCATGTGACTAGTTTTTGTATCTTTTCTGAAAATTGTGGGATAAATTTGGAATAATGTGCAAACATTCCGACAGCTCTCTTTAGTGATTGTGAATCGTTTGGTAAGGGTAACTTCTTTAATGGTTCAAGTCTTTCAGGATCAGGTTTTAAGGTCTGATTTTCTATTTGATAACCCAAAAGTTTGATTGAATTTAGTGTATAAGAACTTTTATTTTGATTTATTGTTAGATTGTATTTCTTCGCTACTTCCATAAATTTATTAAGATTTTCATTATGTTGTTGTTGATTTAATCCACAAACCGTAATGTCATCAAGATATGCATACACACCTTTTAAATGTTCGGATTTAATAATACCATCGATAACCCTTTGAAAACAAGCCACTCCGTTGGTTACCCCAAAAGGAATCCGGCAAAATTGGTATAGTTGGCCGTTGGCTTCAAAAGCAGTGTATATTTTCTCTTCATTTTTAATTGGAATTTGATGGTATGCATTTTTAAGATCAATAGTACTGAAGACAGAATATCTTGCTACTTTTCTAACAATATCTTCAACATCTGGGAGAGGATAGGCATCTAAGTAAGTAAATTTATTAATTGTTTGTGAATAATCTACCACCATTCGCTTTTTGTGTGTTTCACTTTTTGTAATAAGTACTTGTGCACGCCAAGGAGAGTTGCTTTCTTCTATGATTCCATTCGATAGCAGATACTGTATCTCGTCAGATATGAATTTTCTATCTTCAGTTGAAAATTTTCTTGATTTAGTTGCCCTCGGTTTGCAATCATTTGATAGATTGGAGAATAATTTGGGTGGCTCTATATTTAAGTATGCCAAACTACAAATGTTATCTATATGATCAATAACTAAAGGCATTTTTGAGCCAGCAAAAGTGATTTCTAGAGAAGAATGTTGTTTAAGCAAGTCATGACCTATAACTACATCAGCACATAAATCTTGAATTATTGATAATTTGACATTTTTATATGAATGTTCGTTTATTTCTAAATTAACAAAGCAGTGTCCTGAGATAGTCGTTCTGAGTGCTGTTGAAGCCATTATTATGCTTGCATGACTTCTAAATGTTTTCACGTTTATAGACAATGCATAATTCTTACTGATATATGACTCAGAACTACCTGTGTCTATTAAACTTTCAGCTGTATTTCCATTCACCTTTATCTCAGTAACACTTTTAGATAAGCATTGAGGGGCAGCAGCAAGATTTCTAACATTCGAACTAGATGTAGTAGTAGCTAAAACAGCAGCTGATACTGAATTGGGCATCTGAAGCCTACATACCTTGGAAAAATGTCCAACTTTCGAGCATTTCTTACAAACTTTGTCTCTAGCAGGGCATAGGCTACGAGGATGCCTTTCAGTTGATCCACAAAAGTAACATTTCCAACTTTTCACAGCAGCAGAAGTATAATTAGTGTGCTCTCTGGTTTCAGAAGAAATTGCATTAATAATTTGTACAGGAGTTGTATAAGCCTCAGAGTGTTTTGAAGCTGACTCCAGAGACTGGGCTTTTACTATGGCATCTTGCAGAGTAATAGTGTTGTTTTCTAGTAAACGTTGTCTTATGTCATTAGAAAGAATGCCATTAATAAAAGAGTCTCTTATATAATCTTCTCTATTTTGGTCTGCAGAAACGGCTAGAAAATTACAGTCTTTGGAAAGCACTTTAAGATGTTGAACGTATTGACCTATATTTTCACCAGTTTGTTGTTTTTTTGTCATTAGGATATGTCTGGCAAAAATTTCATTTTTGGGTTTAACAAAAGCTGCTTCAAGAATACTTTTGGCTTCAGAATACTTTCTACAATCAGAGATGAGTTCATAGATATTGTTGCTCACGTAATTTACCAGTAGTTTGAATTTCTCCTCCTCTGAAACATCAATCACAGAGGAAATAAAGTTTTCAAAGGTAGCTTTCCAATGCATCCATTCTTGAGACGATCTAGGAGAGTTAGGATCAGCATCGAATCTGTCTGGTCGTAGTAGCTTATCCATATTTGATATTTCTTGTATATTAAATTGTAATGAAATGCAAAACCTTTATAAACTAGGTTTTAATATACAAGAAATTAGCATTGTTTTGTTTGAATGAATAACATGACAATTACATATGACATTAACTAAAACTAAGATGACAAATGACAAACACAGTTCACAGACCACAGGACACATACTATCTAGACACTAGTTCCAAGTCAGTGGCGAAACGGGCCTGTCAACATCTCTATTGATCTAAGAGAAATGTTACCACCGACAATTGGTACATCAGCGTTGATCTTGGTATAAGCTTGAAGAAAAATGGTTTAACTCTTGTGAGAATCATAGAAGAGTAAATAGAAGAAAGAACAAAGAAAATAGAAGAGAAATTCCTGCATATCTAGAGAAATGTTACCACCGACAATTGGTACACCAGCGTTGATCTTGGTATAAGCTTGAAGAAAAATGGTTTAACCTTGTGAGAACCATAGATGAGTAAATAGAAGAAAGAACAAAGTAAATAGAAGAAAAATTCCTGCATATGTAACAATCAAGGACGATCTATTGGCTCTAGTACATTTGGGTTTGGTCTTTTTTGTTCCAAAACCCAATTTGATGAAGATGTCGTGCCAGTTCAAAGAACTCCGGCAGCAACTGGGAGCTGTGGTGACTGGGGATGGAAAAAAATCGAAAAACGAAATATTTTTGTTAGATTTGTAAAAAATATCTTTGTTTGGAATATGTGAATCCAATTTGCAATGACTGAACAATATTCCGGCTTAATTTTATTATATTTTTTGAAATTTCTTATGGCTTATATTTTGTTATAAGTCTTAGTAAAATAATGTTTTATTATTGTTGAAGATAGTTCTTGAATGATAACTAATCTGTTGTGTTCTAATTTTAAATTAGTAATTTGTATAGTAAAAAAGAGAATAAATCAAACTATTACAAAAATTGTGGACTGTTTTTTGCGGCTCGCAAATAAACATTTTAAATAAACAAAATATATCAATAATAATAAATAATGTTAAAAAAACTACAAACAATAGATTATTTCATTAAAATTTATACAAAATGCATCCAGATGACTATATTTATGACGGGTGTAGTAGAATGTGTGCGATTACTGATACACAAATTTTTATGTGAGGTGCAAGCATTTTAAAAATTTCAAAAAATTCACCCGCATATTTGAGGCTTTTACAAAAAGTTTTGTATTTTTTATAGACTCATAGGTTGACTATACATAAGCTAAAAATGCATTTATTTTTAGAAAAACTTTTTTGGAGGTGGCTGCAGGTTAACTTTTTTTGTTTTGTGTATTTGTTCAACAATTATATCTCTAATGTTTTTCGGATTATTCCGTATGGGATCCGGATCTTCCGGGTTTGGGAGATTTTCTACATTTTTAGACATCAAAATAGATCAAATCAAGGTTTTTTTATAGGTTATACATATTTTAAATTAAATGAGCTCTTTAGATCATTTAAAAATTTGGTGAAACTCTTTGAACCCCCCAATAAGCATAATTTTCAGGGTTTTTAAGGGTTTCAGTTTTTTGTGAAATCCACATAACCCGAATAAATTTTTTCATATTTTTAGTTTTTATGGGATTAAAAAATCACAGTTCGTTATGATATCATGATAAGGCCCTCCATTTTTGAACTGGTAGAAGCCTTTAGCTACAGCCCGTTCATTTATTTAGTCACAAAAATCTTTATTATGACAGCAACAAAAGCAAGCTTTTATTCTCTTAACGTCAACTTTTGAACTTCTAGAAGCATGCAGTCATTAATTATTTACTTCTTCAGCCGTTAACATCCAAAATGATTAATTTTGGTTACTCTTTAATTATCTAATTGCGATTTATTCGTGATATGATTTAACTTTGGAAGTCAACTGAGGTATCTACTGGGATGACCAGAGTCTACTTTGAGGAGCACTTGATAAGGTGAACAGGATAACCTAACGATATAAATTGAATTAAGAAAAATAACATAGTCATTAAAGGAAACGTATTTGACAAACTCTACTGTTTTTAATAACGTTGCCTCTGCTTTCAGATTCTTTAATTTTATATACAACTAAAAAAATATAAGTATAATATAATTTTTGAATTTGAGACATCCAGTCGATAAATATGATTTGTTATTTATGTATTTGTACAACGGAAAAATAAAAATAATACTGACACCATGTATAACTTTACACAAAATATATAGCATAAATAATATTATTGTCATTTTTAAAAATTAAAAATATTCGAAGACTAGAGATTAAGGAATAATTTGAATATTTTAATATCACTTTCAGGTAAAGGGTAATAGGTTTCTACCTACGGAAGAATCTGAAGAAGCCTTTGCCTTTCTCTGTAGGAGGTGCCATCAACATCGGCACTTGGTTCTTGTGAGTGATACGTATCTAAAACATATGTAATTTTATAATATACAAAAAATGTAATTTAATAATATAATATTATTTGTAACTGCATATACATCATTCAGTATGTCGTTGGCTGTATGCAATAGTGGCACAACTCAAAAAACTGGTAATTTTTCAAAACAGGGGTTTGTGTGACAACAAAAAAAGTTTATATGCCAATAATTTGGATTATTTTTTTTACTACATGGATTGGGATTTTTGGTTTATTTGGGATAGCCTTAGGTAGCCTTAATGAATTGTAACACAGAGTTTTAAATTCAAACCTTATTTTGAGTTGTGCCACTATTGCACTTCAACATTTTGTCTTTCAAGACTAATTAAGGAAAAGACAAAACTGGCATTTTTTTTGTTATTCCTATCAACTGAAATAAAGGATCAATAAAGAATACTACAAGTTACTTAAATGAGAAAATGTGGTTATTAAGTATAATTAATAATAATAGGAAAAGTTACGTTACTGGACATGTAGCTAGGAGCGATCTAAACAAATGGCATAGATCAATTTTAACCTGGAGACCATACCAACACAAAAGACCCAGAGGCAGGCCTCCTATGAGATGGACAGATGATCTGAAAAGGACTGCCGGAAAAAATTGGCTACAAGTATCGTACAATAAAAACCAATGGAAAGGAAGACTTGAAGAGGCTTATGTTCAGATGTGGACGTGAATGGCTAGACGAAGAAGAAGAAGAAGGAAAAGTTACGACTGACAATGCTTTAAATGTCGGTAGAAATCAGCGTAAATTGGTGCAACACTCTCGTTTTCACAAAGGCTAGTAAGGTCGTTTTTCTTCGTTTCAATTACTGGCAGACTGCCAGCGTTTTCTAGCTTTTTTTATTTTTTTAGTACAGCTTTTTTTATTTTTTTAGTTTATCTACAGTATCCATGCTTTCTAAACCATTTCTTGTTTTTTTCTTGGTGGTATTAACTGATCTGTACTCCTCTTGTGCAAATGAAATTTTCATATAGTAGTATATATATATATATATATATATATATATATATATATATATATATATATATATATATATATATATATATGTATATATATATATATATATATATAATATAATAGAGTACCAGAGCTTTTTTTACAGGAATTTCACAAATATCGTTGAAATCAAAAGTATTTCCTTGGACAAATTCATTGATAATTGTCGCTGTTTTAGAATTTAACTTTTTCCGGTCAAAAAAATATTTATGACATAATTCGTTTACTTTGAATGGTTGTTTACAACCAGCAGTTCGGATTAGCATAGCGTATCCTTTTGGTGGCGATAGAGCAGCTTGTAGGTCAAAAAAAGAACTTTTTGTAAGCTAGTTACATTCTCTTTGTCAAGTGTTTAGCTCCTGGCTTAAGGTTTTTTGGGAGAAAATATTGCATAGTTAAATATATGATTAAAAAGTTTACGATATAAACTAATTTTACAAATTCACCACTGTCTCTTTGGCAATCAGCTTTATCATCATTGTACAGATCTGTCAATGTTTTGCCTTCTTCTATATATTTTTTTGAGGTACTTCTTCGACAATAGTGGCTCTTCATGGTCGGAATTGAAGAAAGGTGTTTACAAACCCTGTTCATAATTTCCTTACAAAATGTTTTATACATGCTATGTTTACCTCTTTGATCGTTGCTTATAAAGCCACTTTCGAACACTTTCTAACAGTTCGAATACATCTATTATTAGTAACTCCAATGGTAGATATAAAAAATTTAAAAAATGCATTATTATAACCCGGGCTTGATAAAAAAAATGTTTCTACAAGTAAAATATTTTTGAGCAGAATATTAAAATATTTTGGATTTAAATTTAAAACAGATTTCAAAAGATTTTTTGTTTGCAGCCTTGAGAAAAAAAAAATGAAATTTTTGAATAAAAAACAAACAAACATTAGAATACTATTGTTCATATCGTTTTTCTATCGTTTATCATTATATACATCTGGAGCAGTTTGGAAACGAATTACCGTTTTGAAAATTTGGCTTGTACTGCTAAGACAGATTTATCCGTATGCGATAATTTCTTGTGCACTGATGGCACGACATTAAATAAAGTATAACTTACTGTAGTTGGAGGTTGCATCCAAGGTTCACCATCAATTTGCATGGGGAAAGTCTTTTTTGTCTTGATCAAAACTGAGGAACATTGTGCCAATCTTCTGCCACTAGCTCTCAGTCCTGTCCGCACTTGGCCCATATGGAGACAATTTTCCAGGCCTATCACTTCTATCAACCCATCTCCGATATCTGTAATAAGCATCAAATATGTATACAGACACAAAAAAATAAATTAATTTAAAAAACAACTCCAATTAATTGCATGGTGCTATATCTTGAAATAAGAACGTAGTCTACCGTATCACCATAAATCTGCTCTGCTGTGATCTGTCTCTTCATATTAAATCTTTTTCTATAATAACTTCTACTTTTTCATTATACGTAGATTTTATCTTTCGCTTGTTTTCTTCACAACAAAGCAAATTCATGATGTCATAGATCTCTTAGATACAATTCTTATCAGATATTATCTGCGGATCAATTAAACAACAAGAGATGTTTTCTCCCCCTTATAGGCTGGGTAGCTCAGTTGACATAGCAATGATCAACTAAGTTTTAGTTCAGTCGATAGCTATACAAATTCGAGCACCAAATTTTTCTATTGAGTAAAAAGATCTGATGACTTTGGAAATAATGCTCGTCTAGAGGAACATTTTTATTATTATTTAATAAGTGACTCTTTGTGGAGACAATGAAACTGACTTTAATTAACAGATTTATAAAGCTGTGTATTTTAATGATGTCAATTCGACAACTATGTTTACTACAACAGATCTTCTAAAGGCTTCTAAGAAAGCAAATTATCAGTTAAGGATAGAAATAAAAACAAGAACGGCTACAAAGAAGTGGTAGCTCACAAATCTCTGGAATGGTGGAGGAATTCACCAGGACAAAGACAGGCGAAACAGTTCATTAGAGAACATTCGCCAAAATTTACGGCAGACCTAATTAGCAAAGATAGGAAAACAGTCAAAGCCATAGTAGATCTTCTAACAGGGCACTGTAAGCTGAATAGGCACTTGAAGCTAATGGGATTATCAGATGATGACCTGTGCAGATTCTGTCACCTCGAAGAAGAAACGGCAGAGCACATTTTATGTCAGTGTGACAGTCTGGCAAGTGTGCGGTTTTTTGCATTAGGAGAAGAAAATCCACCGGCAAACAGCTACATGGAAGGTACAGTCTCGAAGCTACTAGACTTTATAAAGAGGATCAGGCTAGAGAATGTTGTCTAGGACTAGAGGGCCACAATAGATCTGAAAAGGTCGCAGTGGAATAGGTCGAAAGGCCACCTCTCTTAATCTAATCTAATCTAATCTAAGGATAGAAATTTGTTATCTGGTCAGATTCTAAAACGATCTATTTTAGGTACGAATGTTCAGCCATTTCCTCTGTATTTTATCAGAATTTGCACGATGCTTTGTATCCTTTTTTATTTTAAATGGTATTTGAGTGAGTGTGTTTAGTGTTATAGTGTTTACTACACTCTACAATCTCTTCTTGATCCTTAAAGAGGAGGTCAGATAATGCAATTTCTTGCTAAAAAATAAACAATTAATGCAGTTATTCTATACCTTGTATCGCCACACTAAGATCCACAGAATTGAAACTGCTCGTACTAAGTTCTTTCTGCTTCTTTTTCGGCTTTTTCCTTCTGGTGCTTGACAGGTGCTCTCCCCAAAGATTAGAACCGCCATGCGTATATGGAATATTCAGTAGGGCTATTCCCTGTAGAGGTGGTCCGTTCGCCAAATCTAGACTTTGGTCGTCACACTAAAATAGAATATTTGTTTAAAAAATTATGATAATGAGAAACGTAAAAAAACTTACGCTTATTTCAATATGCTCGTGCAGATTTTTGCAAGAGGCCGAAAACTGTTCGGAAGTAGCGTATTCGAAGTACCAAAGTTTATTTTTCATTCTACTATTAAATTTTTCCGGATTTTTTTTCCCGTTCTATGTGAAATTTGACACAAATAGCAGCATCCTAAAAGGACAAAAATTTAATGCCAATCTCTTTTTAAAAAATATATAATATTATTTGTAATTACAAAATTTATTATCTAAAAATAAAATAACTATAGTGGAAGCCATAGTTAGAATGCAGTGTAGGTAAGATAGGCAATGCATTTCTTTTGGGAGAACGGCCGACCACGTTGCCGGTTTGCCCCGAGCGGCGCATCAGGACCAGATGTAAGAATCATAGCACTGGAATATACGCGCACACAATTGCCAACGGTTGTATAAAAGACTATCATTATTAAAATGAAAAAGACAGCAAATATTTGATTTCACGCAAACAAATCCTATGTATCTGTTGATACGTATTTCGACCTAATAGGTCTCATCAGAACAGTTCAATACGGACGCGCTAGCGACATCTAATTACAAAATCCGTAAAATAGTTTCGAAACACAATTCATATTTCTGCTTATAATCTGAGCCTTCTAAAAATTGCAAGGCAAACAGACGTTGATAAAAGATGTTCTGATGAGACCTATTAGGTTGAAATACGTATCAACAGATACATAGGGTTTGTTTGCGTGAAATCAAATATTTGCTGTCTTTTTCATTTTATTTCGGATTTACTCTGTGTGAGTACTAGAAGCACAATTCGCTAAGGATTTCTGCTTAGTTGTAAAAGACATGTCGTGGAATGCAAATTTTAGATTCCCCATGTCCCTTTTAACATCTTTTATCAACGTCTGTTTGCCTTGCAATTTTTAGAAGGCTCAGATTATAAGCAGAAATATGAATTGTGTTTCGAAACTATTTTACGGATTTTGTAATTAGATGTCGCTAGCGCGTCCGTATTGAAGCCATTTTATTATTGCTTCTTAAAAGGCAGAAAATATTGATTCTTCACGTTGAGAACTCCTATGAATAGCTGTTCTGATGAGACCTATTAGGTCGAAATACGTATCAACAGATACATAGGGTTCGTTTGCGTGAAATCAAATATTTGCTGTCTTTTTCATTTTATTTCGGATTTACTCTGTGTGAGTACTAGAAGCACAATTCGCTAAGGATTTCTGCTTAGTTGTAAAAAACATGTCGTGGAATGCAAATTTTAGATTCCCCATATCCCTTTTAACATCTTTTATCAACGTCTGTTTGCCTTGCAATTTTTAGAAGGCTCAGATTATAAGCAGAAATCTGAATTGTGTTTCGAAACTATTTTACTGATTTACTATCATTATTGTTTCAACTAAAGCATAATTGAATCATCGATGTGCAAATAACAGAATTACATTGTCGAACTAAACAATAACATGAAGAATACTATAAAAAAAAGTAAAGTATATCAAAAACTCATTGTCGATAGCTTTCCTATATTTATCAATTTTCAATAGCTTCCATTGCAAACACATTCTTTGGGAAATAAAGATCATTATAAAGTAATTAGGAGAAGCCCATCAGTTTTAATCCCCATTTTCCACGCTTGTCCACGCCCAAGTAAACACGTATCTTTGTCGATTTGGGTACTCACCATTAGATCAAAAATTTATTTGTAAAAACTATGAATGCTCAGTTCCATTTCATTTTCGCAAGCAGATGAAAATACCTACAGCAATATCCGTCGTAAATTTCAAACAGGGTATGACTCTTATTGTGTAACTAAAAAGTGTGGTGTTTTAATATATTGAACTATTATTTATGAACTTAAAAATGGTCACAGCTTGACTATTACTGTGGAAAAAGTTTCGAACATATGCGGTGTGAGTGTACGCAAAATTTATGACATCCGACATGCCAAACGACATGCGAAGAGGCCCAGTAAGGCGAATTGAAACCGATACAAAAAAAGAAAAAAAACAAACAGTTTAAAGTCCAATTCACGTGAGAACACGTACGACGAGGAAGAGATATCCCGAATAAGGAAAATTGTCCATGATTTTTTTCGGAAAACACACCAATCTTCGACAGCATAATGAACAGAGTAAAGGATGATAAGGAACTACCAGCTTTTTCAAAAACCACATTTCGTAAACTACTAAATGACATGGGTTTTGAATATGGTAAAAGAGGTTGAGATTCGATAATGATTGAAAGGAAAGATATCATATCCTGGAGACACAAGTACCTCAGACAAACAAGACATTAAGCAAGAAGGATATTGTAAATCTTATTTATACCAATGAGTCTTGGATTAACGTCGATGCTTCAGTCAAAAAGGAATGGAGGGACACAACGATAAAAATTCACGAGATGCATTCAAAGAAGGGCTTTCTACTGAACTGAAAGTTCCAACCCAAAGAGATCCTCGGCTTGTTCCAAGAAGAGAACCGCTGACTTGGAGACTTAGAGTTCCAAGAAGAGAACCTTACCAGACAAAACCTGAAATCTCGGTCTTGAAACCGAGATTTCAAGTTCTCAAGGGAGAACTTGAAATACGTTGTACTCATAGGCGATATCACGCATTTTTTAAATAGTCTAGACTGACATAGGGTTGATAATGTGGGAACTAAAAAATTGACGCGGCTAGGTACAGTTCCGTAAAAAGTGTTAAATTTAAGAATTCAAAAATGGAACTCTTACAAGAGGACATACAAAATATGAAACCACCAGGACGTAATTAAGATATTTTAGTATACCGTCAAATGTAGACCTAATACCCAAGCAAACCATTTAAACTATGTTTGATCATAAAGAGAGTCAGGCACATATTCCAACGAACACACAAAACAGCCAATAATTCCCTTTGTTGCATTTAGTATAACTGGCCTGGTCTAAGTGTGATTAAAATAAACTAAACGCAAAGATTAGGAAGTTTTTACTTACCACTCCTATAGAAAAATAGTTATTAATAATATTATATGGGATTCTGGTATCTGGTATTTTCTGATCTGGATCAGGAGGTGACGTATCAAACAAATCGATCATCCATCTGTCTAGCATAACGGCGGAGGCTCTAGCAATTTTATGTAACATCTTATGTATAGATTCCCCCTCGTATCCACCACCCCAACGAAGGCATCTGGCTAAGTCGTTTCCAGTTCCTAACGGAATCACTGCTACTGGCGGTTGACATTCTAGTTCGACTTTATCTGGAGATAAAATTGCTTATTAGTTCAAAAAGATGCTCATAAAAGATTATAAAATTACAATATTGATCTTGATAACTTTTTAATTTAGTACTGTATAATCGTTTTTGACTTTCTTGTTATACCCCTTTTGGGCCTCCCCTCTGCATATATATCATTAAATGAGTACCTACGAACCACACGGGGCTTACAGTTTAAAGCAGATTTTGAATGATTAATTGAATATTACTCAATGGTTTGATATTCTGTGTTTAGTGTTTAATCAAACCCATACCATTCAGTACAATAGATGAACACACTGACCTATAGGTTTCCAAAGACCTTACTAGACCATGTCTAATCAAGGATGATCTGGCGTGTTTTGGATTCAGAATAAAAGGGCCTATCCACACTCAGCCTATGCTGTAATTCCTAACCTGTATGCACGTGCTACCATTAGTAGTGCTTTTCTTTGGACTTTCTATAGCATCCTCCTATATTCTTTATGATAAAACACTTGTTGCCATACCGCAGCCATGTAGAATACAGTAGAGTGAACCACCTCCATTAAAATTCTTCTTTTGGCAGTCCCTGGTCCTCCCACATTGGACATAATCCTTATCACACCGAAGTCTTCTCCTTTGCCTAGCGAATGACGCATTTAACGTGCTAATCTATAAAAAGTTCGTCTGTTATCTAGGAATACTCTCAAGTAATTTACTTTTTTGGCAGGTAAGATCCTTTCTCCTCCCCAGGACAAAAACTATATGGTTTTAGGACTTCGGACCCTTGAGGATCATAAATTTAGTTTTCTTAGTAGTAAGCGTAACATCATATGATTCCCATTCATGTCTTCACTTTGTTGAGGGCTCGGTTTCCTCTATGCATGATAGATCAGTTTCCGTTATGCTCCACCAGCACTACTAATTCATTCACAAATTGGTATTGCTTGTACACCAATGCCCAGGTCGGTCTCCAAAATCTGTTTGTACAAAACATTCCAAAGCAATGGCCGCAGGACGGTGCTTCGGCAAAACTCCCGCCTTGGTCCTGAAAGAGATATCCCTCGCAATGTTGTTGTATATATCTATGAAGTAGTCTATGACCAAGTTCTGGATATAGAGGGTGTCCCCAAGTCGTCCAGTAGTCTGATGATAATTTTACAATCCTAATATTATTAAAAGCATGTCTTATATTAAGATGTCTTTCGAATGTCTTCGAAAGCTCGTACATAGAGTCTAGAGACCAGCTAAGGGAAACTGTCCCCTTAAATTTCTGATGGGTCCACCCACGTTTGTTATGTATTTTTGCTGGCCTTTGGTCTATATTAGTATGTTCAAAAATGAAGATAAAGTATATAATATATTAACTATAATTTTTATCGAGAGGTTCACGCGCGTACCTTTTCGTTTTCCTTTAAAAATTTTCCACTTTTTGTTTATTTTACTGAATTTCTATTTTTATAGTAATTTCTATTCACGTAATTAATTATCTAATTATCTTCCAAACCGCCGACTTTAGTTACATTTTCTGTTTGTTAACTACCAAAATTTTAATAATTATACACAGACGCTGAAAATACTTGTTTTGTTATGTTTTATATAATATGAAATACTTACCCATAGTTTCTAATACCCATCCAACGGTACCATCTCCTCCGCAGCACACTACTTTAAAATTAGGAACGTCTTTGAACATGCTAAGACCAGCCATGGGACCACTACCACCGCCCAGGATATGTACTTGTCTCGGATTGAGTATGTATTGAAACTTTCTGAGGATTCTGGAGCCCTGTCGGCCACCTGATTTCGGATTGATGAAGACCAACAGAGGCACGGAACTTGGGGATATCGTTATTTGGAATGACATGGCCGGTTGCTTGTTTTGTGATATGGTGCCCTTCAAAATATTAAACAGAAAGTTAAACTATGCTTCCTATAACGTTTATAATTACTATGTTGGATAATTTTACTTGACTTACATTATCATGTCCGTATTTGGATCCCCGTTTTTGTACAGATCTTTGTCTATCTAATACAATGGGACATATGGAGACTGGTGGTAAAATATGGACGGCATGTTCTCCAAGTCCACATTCCGCTTTAACTTGGGCCACACACTTATTGTGTAACTAGAAATTAAATAAAAGAAAGTTAGATACAAAGGTAGGCATCAATAAAAAAATCAAAATATAATCTTTGAGAAATTTTTAGTATTGGGTGATTAACGTCTAGATATCGAATATGTAGTTATAATATATAGTTACGAGGTTTCAGCAAGTTTTAACTTGCCGAAACATACTTTATCATATCATATCCTTGCCCACCGGACAAAGACGTTTTTCTAACATACTCGCTTAATGAAATGTTTAGTTTTACAACCATGTATACGGAAATGAACGATTTTTTGCAGATGGTAAATTGATTTCTGCTATACAATCGTCGTAGTCGCTCTTCTTTAGTAACCAATTCGTGTTATTTATTTTAACACTCATAATACCAGCCAAAACGTTTCTAGAATTACTGTCTGTACCATCAACATCTGACAATCTGGATCTATTTTTCCTTTACACGTGTTCGTTTAATAACAACAGAATCTTGCCTCTTTAAAATTTAATTAGAAAATTACAGTGGATAGTAATTCTAGAACCTCATTTGATTCATTCATTGATGGTTGCTCAGGTTGTTCTGGTTCTTGTTCTATTAGAAGCTCATTTGGTTAATCCATTTCTGTGGAAGGATCTGACTAGATTTCCTCTACTTATTCCACCAACACTTCCAAATCTTCTTCAGTCAAAATATTTTCTTTTGGTAGTGATGAAGTTGTTAAATCAATGTTGGCAGGAACACCAAACATAGCTTTATATGGATTGCACCTGATGCCAGAATGTTAAGCTCGGTTTTTGGTGAATTGTAGAAGACCCTTTGACCACTGGTTTGTTTGGTTGCATTCCAACCATGAAATCAGCACATTTTCGATGTCTGAATTCGCATGTTCAACAGATCCTTGTGACTGACTATATCTTGACTTACCGTTTACTATCTTCAAATCTTTCCACATGTAGCACAGTTCTTCAAAATTCTGTTGAATAATTTTCGTCCATTGACGCTTTGAAGAATGCTAGGAGCTCCAAAGGCAAAAAAATTGGTTGGCACAATTAGTTTTCAACGGTCGTAAATGTACACATTTTGTTCAAGTGACCTTGGTAGACAAAAATGAATTCGTGTTCATTATCTGCTTAGACTTGCATATCTATCAAATATATCTGACGTCTACTATTTCTTTGTTTTGACACTACTAAACTTTTTTTTGGAAATTTTAGATTCTTTTCTGGCAAGTTTCAAACAGATCCAAGTAGATAGCTATGATTTCTACAGTTATGTTCTTGTACTTCTGTTGTAATTTTTTTCAACATTCTTGTTCTACCTCCATATCCAATAGATTTATGTGCTCTGTCGATCAATTTAAAGAGTTCTTTCAAATGAACATTAAATAAAAACAATCTGTTTATCTTTACTTAAGAAGCAATTCGGTTTTTTAGTTTTCTCAACCTTCAGATCATATTTTTTCAACCCCAATACCATTTCATCCGGTATTTTAACCCTAGTTTTAGATTTTCTTAGATGAATACTGTTCATTAAAGTTTGGTACTTCTCTTTTGTAAGCAAAATCGTATTATGGTTTTTACTATTTATCACTTAATAAAGTTAAAATAAAAATAATAAGGGATCAATTTTTTGGGAGGTGAGAATCTTCGAAAGACCTCTGGGAAGGTGTTTCAGGTGTGATGGATTTGGACGACTACGCTTCAGTCTTCACCGTAGTTGACAGCCTACCAACTAAACCTCTTTCTCCAACCGACGGGCCTAAGACCGCGCTTAGCGAGCATTACCATCTGACCCGTTAGCCAGTTGATCACGACCGCGCCATTATTTCAACCATCTTAAACTTAACTAGAAAGGTTAGACAACGGGTACAAGTAACTCAAGACATTCATATTGCACCCCAGGGTGTGGTCCATTCATCCCTCCATTTACACCAGCCCATTACTTAGTAATAGGCTGCTCCAAAAGGAAACATACACCGTACACTAGATACAAGTAGAAACAAAACAACACGTCTGTAAATTGATTTCTGCAATGTAGTCAATTTCTTAGGAAGCAGTGGCTCACCCCACTGACGCTGACAGATACGACACATTAAAATAAACAGTTCATCTTTGTCGCAGTCTCCTCTCTTTCTCTTACTTGTGTTTTATGGTTTCTGTCACAAATACAATGATCAAGACAAAAATTCGTTTTCAATTGCTTTATTTATTAGTTCATGTAGCTCGCCTAGAGGTGACCCCAGGCCCAGCTGCAGTAAGGTTCGTCTAATATTGTATGCGGGGCATAGGAATACTATATGATGCACGTCATCCACCACTCCACACTCGGGACACAAATCGTCTTCGGTCTTTTTTATTCTATATCTATAAGACCGGAAAGATCCATGTCCCATCATAAATTGGTTAAGTAGTAGTTGACACGTCTATATTTACACTCATACCACCTTACTGCATCTGGGATATATGTATTCGTCCAGGCAGTCTTGTCTGTTTCTCTTGACCATTGGTCCTGCCAGATCTCCAAACTCCTTTTTCTTTCTTGCGTTCCTGAAGATAAATCTCCGTTGCCCCTTTCATGCATCCGAACCCTTTCATTAGCCAGGATATGCACCGGTACAGCACCGGCCACTACTTGTAAGACAATGGTTGATACGGTCCTGTACGCGCTGAATACTCTAATCAATGGTTTCCTCTGTGCCCAAGAAGAATGTCTATTTATTTCTCTTTGTTGAGAATCTTATGCCATACTGGGACCCCATATAGTAAGATGGATATGATTGGTTGGATGTATATGATGGATAACTGATCTTTTGTGTGACCCAGAGCCTCCTATATTCGGCATTATTTGATTAAAGGTTGAAGTCCTCTCTTCCGCCTTCCGACATGCCTCTTGTATGTGGTGTCTGAATGCCATTACGATTTTTAAGTATATACGGTCTTCTGTTGGTAAAGAAACAGAACTAATCACCACTATACAAACCAGAAAACTGGAATACCTAGGCCACGTGATGAGGGGACCAAAATATGAAATTTTGAGACTGATAATACAGGGAAAGATTCAAGGAAGAAGATCTGTTGGCCGAAGGCAGAACTCATGGTTAAAGAATCTACGTGATTGGTACCAATGCAGATCGATTGATTTGTTTAGAGCAGCAAGTTCTAAAATAAAAATAGCCATTATGATTGCCAACCTCCGTAGGGAGACGGCACTCCAAGAAGACGGTCTTCTGGGGTCTTAGGTCGGAGCCACTGAACCGAAAAAAAGACGTTTTTTTGTCCCATGGTCCCCTCAAGATGATTACTTATGACTTTTCTACCGCAAGTTTTAGGTCATTTCTCTTTATCCATCTCGCAGTTTTTTCTATGGCTTCATTTACTTTGTTTATAATGCCCCAATTCATATCTTCTATAATTAGGGCTAGATCGTCTGCGTATGCTATAGCCCTTACTCATTGTGTTTTGTTGTATAAAATATTCCATAATGTGGGTCCCAGGACTAACCCTTGGGTACTCCAGCAGTCATTTTCATCGCTTCTTTGCGATAGATAGTCCTTTATTATATTGGACACATATTCCGAGGTCCCAAGTTCGACAATCTTGTCTACGATGAGACCTCAGTTCGCTGAATTGAAGGCGCTTTTGATGATTTTGTACCTTAACCCATCTATTACAACAATGTATATAGGTTAAGTTCCAAATTTTTAACATTGTGAAGGCGGATGTCATTTACCATCACTGATTTTGGAAGTAGGTTTGGAGTTTATTTTTTACCAAACATTTCTGTAATTGGCAACTTTAAAAAGTGACTACTTGTTAATAATTTTTAAAGATTTATAATTTAGATGTATTTAATATTTAATTATTAAAAGTGAATATTTAAGTAATAAATATAGCAATTATTTTATATATACCTTTGACTGAAATACAACATTTTACTTTTCTCTTATTTTTTCAAATCCATAAAGTTTATACAAACATTACATAATTTTATTTTGATCTTAACGCCAAATGGAAATTATTCTTGTTGCTTTTGATACAAGCAGCAGCATAACTTCCTCGTTTAAAGAACTCATTTATATTTTAAATTAAATGAATGTTAATGAAAAACGTTGCTCAGATTTGTTTGATGTTTTATATTTCTTTGAACAACATTAGAATAACAGGCACGGTTGCCTTGATACAGTTGAATATTTTTTCGCAGCGAGGGAGTTTCATGATGTGGAACAAATAGATGGCAGCAGCATCGAAAAGTTGGAACTTACAAATAAGGAATTTATAATAAACTTTTAAATAATAAATACATCTTCGAGGTCTTATGAAGATGTATTACACGACGTCCACCGAATACACTTTCAAACGCAACATAAATAAATAACGTACGTACATATATCTGCCGTCCTAACATGAAAAATTTGGTAAAATGACTTTATTGGCTCACGGCATTCATAAACATATTATCTATGTATGTACAAAATGAAATTGTCCTATAAGCGTCTTAAGTGCCTTATTATATAGCTAAATGGTTTGTCCTAACTGACTAAAAAGCCATGTTCACTAACATAAATTGTCCTATCTCACATATACTAAGAAAAATTGTCCGTTTTGACTTTAAAAATGCAGTTAGGACTATTTAAGGTGGTAGTATTTTATACTGAGCGGCATCATTTAGGACAATTTTTGCTAAGTATGATATAAGCATGTGTGTAACATAACTTCAAATAATTAATTAAAAAGGGTATTTGTTATTGTCAGACATTGGGAATACTCTCATGCTTTTTGGTATTTTAAGTAAATATATTTTGAGAAATGGATGAAGGGTAAGTTTAATAATGTTACCTTAGGTATAAGCAATAACTGATCGTAATTACTGTTTGTAGTAGTAGCAAAAAATATAGACGCACATGCGTCTATATTTTCTGGTTGTAGCAATGCAGCATGTCGTAGCCAGAACAGCGATAGGTGTAAACGTATGGTATTTAGCCAAAAGCGAGAATGATCCAGATGCACCTGGGACGTCCAATAAA